GACTGTTAGTTAGCGAGATGGTATGCTGAGCTTTATGGGGAGATGCTGTGGATTGCGTGAGCTGATACTAGAGCTTCACTCAGGGACTTGGAAAATGGAAGTCCAGTTGGATAACACAGGTTGAGAGAACCTGTCCATGATGAGCAAGCATGAAGCGACAGTGGAGAGGAAAAATCCCCTGTTGGAAAGAAACCTCTGGCAGAACCAGGCTCAACATGGCGGTCTTCTGCCGGACCAGTTGAGATGAGACAGGGAACGCAGTAAGAGTCCGGGAGGGATGACACTCTGATGAAGCTTTAGCTACGAAGGTGGAGGAGGGGCTGGAGGTGGGTTGAAACGGTGTCATCTAAATGAAGTCAGAGCGCATCCGCCGCTCGCGCACAGGAGCAGACTGATGCGGATAGGACGCCTTTTAAGATGAACTTCAGCTGCTGATTGGCTCTCGTTGAGGTTTGGTGCAAAGCTGATTCGCTGTGGATGTATGAAAAAACATTGAGTTTCTTCAGTTGAACTTCCACGTAGGCTCCAGTTGTTCCAGCACCTCAGAAGAATATGGAAACATGATGATCTTCTGAATTTTTTTCATTTCTCCTTCAATTGACTTTTGAGTTTAACTTTTTCTCTACAACACAGGATATCACATGTTCAGCTCAGTTAGAAAGTGGATTTTTTTTTGGGCCAAAAGGGAGCAAAGCTATCTTAGTCTGCAGACTTTAAAAATAAATGTGTTTTTCAGTCATTTGCAGTGCATTTAAGTGCATGTTAGCCACAAAGTAAAATAGAAGAGTGGATGTAATTTACATTTTATACAAAAAATAACAAAAACAAAACTTGAACACAAAGTAGCATATGTCTATAAAGCATTTTATATTGGTCTGTCCTCCACAATGCAGTCACAATTCCATGAACTGTGCTTTTCCATTTTGTGTGAAAATGTCATCACACACTTTGCCTCTATATAAGTCTTGTTGAAGTTGTTTACTAAAGCTGAACTTTCATGTTGACTGGATTTAAGTTAAAGGTATAGATGATCTTTTATTTCTGAGTTGATCATCTAAATAAGTGTAAATAAGTGCTCTTAATTGTCATTCATTCTGATGATATGTTTACGTGAGGTCGTCCTATGTGCTTGCCCGCAGAGAGCTCTTGTCGCAAAGCATTATGGGATTTGCTGTCAGAGCAGCCCGATGCTGCCATAGGCTGTCGCTAGTGGTGACTAATAACAAAGATGGCGCAGGCACTGCACGGAGGAGGAGTTACATGACCAATGGAGCAAAAAGCAATGATCATCAGTCCAAAAGGTCAGTTAACTGAGTTAACTATAAAGTCCCTGCTGTATGTAGACACAATAAGCTTGTATGAGCTATGAGAACAGCACATTTTAAAGAGGGTGTACACGAGGACAAATGGGGACGTGCATGGTCTTGCATGGTCTTGCATGTCCTTTTTTTTTAAGTTGAGAGG